AGTGATGATTAGATGACTGGGTCAGAGCATCTCCAAAACAGAAGGTCTTGAGGGGAGTTTCCGATATGCAGTGGTTAGTACCTACCAAAAGTGGTGCAATGAAGGAAACCAGCATCAGGGTCATAGATGACCAAATCTTATTGATGTACATGTGAAGCAATGGATGGCCCATCTGGTCCAAGAGCTAAAGTACTTGAAAAACGTAATGCTGGCCATATTAGAAAGGTGTCAGAATACATTGTGCATTCCAGTTTGCTATTAATGGGGCTTCATAGCCACATAATCGGTCACAGAACCCATGATGACAAAAGCATCTTCAATCGGGAAGTGAGCATCAGAACATGAATCACATTTTAGATCAGTTGCACCATTTGGTTAAGAGATAGTAGCAGGATGCACTATGGGTAAAAGGCAGGCTGGCGGAGGCAATATTTTATTTTTTTAATTCTTCATTTTCTTGGTGCGTAATTTTCACTAAAGCAATGGTTGACAGATTATGCAGACATCTACATTGTACATTGCAAGGCAAATATATCAGAAGTCATGCACCATTTTTTTTTTTAAGGAAACAAAAGTTGAGTATAAAATATTCATGCACGGCAAACATTCCAAAACTTTAAATATATTAAATACAGGCTGCCAAACATCAGTGATAATGGCTAGAGATGAGGAAGAATCATTGAGTGATGCTGGTGTCAGACTTGTAGGCTAACATAAAAGGGCGAGATAGGTATACCACGCTGGTGCTGGGTTTGCTGCATAGCCTCTTAGTATGTGTAGGGCTAGTTTAATTAATACTCTGCTGTTGAGGTTTACATGCTTCGCTTCTAGTTAGGGGCATCTGAGGCATCCCTGTTTTCTGTTTTGCTAGGGGATGCGAGGTAATTTGAAAGTGTCAGGGTGAAACTTGGGTGCCTGGTCACTATAGTATACTAATAGGTAGTCATAGCAATTGTATGCCTATATGGTGCTAGCTGGGGTAGTATGGTGTTTAGCAATGCCAGTAGGTGAGGGGGTGTGGGACGGTCATTAATACTGTTTGAGCTGAGGATGATGGGTGTTGTCGTGTGTATTGTATGGGCAACAAATATAACCATAGTAAGTCTAAATAAACTGAGAAAACTGAGAGTAGTAGGCTGCTAATTTATATCAATGTGTCTCCCTATGTAGGGAGAGTCAGGTGGAGTCAACCGCTGACCGTTCTTGTGTGGACCGGTGAGGGACAAAGGGTCGTGCTCTCTCTCAGTGTGTGCTTGGCTCCGCCCCCTGGTGGAGGTAATATTATGTTCTGGGCAATGTTCTGCTTGGTAACCTTGGATTCTAGCATTCATGCGTGGGTTTCTTTGACATGTACCACATACCTAGAGATAGTTGCAGACCATGTACACCTCTTCATGGTGATGGTATTCACTGATAAAAGTCGCTTCTTTCAGCAAAAGAATGCACATTGCCACACTGCACAAAATTGTTCAGGAATGGTTTGAAGAACATAACAAGAGTTCATGGTGTTGCCTTTGTCTCCAAATTCAACAAATCAGATTCAACATCTGTCGGATGTGCTAGAACAACAAATCCAATCTAAAGAGGGCCCTCCTCGCTTGCAGGACTTAAATGATGTGCTGCTAATGTCCTGGTGCTAGATACCACAGGACACATTTAAAGATATTGTGGGGTCCATGACTCATCACTTCACAGCTGTATTGGCAGCACGAGGTGGACCTACATTAAATTAATTAGGTGTTTTTAATGTTGTGGCTAATCTGTGTATGTTTTTCATGACATCAGATCTTAATGTTGATGTTAATGTTGTTAAAAAAACACATTGGCTCATAATTGTAAAAATAATAATTATTCCAAACACCCACATAGTAGATGCACTTTGCAGGTTAGTTTATAATGAATCATGCAGGTTGTTTGTATCTGATTTTAAAAACAAATTGAAGTTTTCCTCCATAAGACCTCTCTGCCTTCCTGTCCCTCCCATTTTTCCCATTTATAATTCAATAATGCAGCTATATGTATTGTACAGTAGTTAGTTCTTTCCATACAGGAAAGCTGATAATTGAAGTATATCCCCCAGAAATCTCTGCTGTACAGGGATATATGATATAATCACAGTACTTGCACAGAAAGTTAAGTAGTTATATGTGCCATTTATTGGTCTGTGCAGTGTTTGCAGCAGAAGAGTAAGGGAAATTTCTTATAGCAAATTAAGGAATTTCAGATGTCTATTTTGAATTTACTCTTGTATCTATCTATCTATCTATCTATCTATCTAACTTTCATCTATTTATCTATCTTTAATCAACATTGGGAGTTGTGAAATTTGGACAGTGATGAGTAGGTCTAAAGGATCATTCTAGTGACTCAAAATATGGTATATATGGTAATATGGTATTTGAACAAACATAAGGTAATTCTTTAGAATATACTAAACAGTAAATAGTCTGTGAAGAAATAGATACAATTTAGCAACAGATCATCCATTTGGCTGTCTAGTCAGTGACTTGTTAGGCTTTATTTCTCCTTGCCAAAATTGAACACTTGAACAGTAACATAGACACATAGAATGTGATGGCAGATAAGAACCATTCGGCCCATCTAGTCTGCCCAATTTTCTAAATACTTTCATTAGTCCCTAGCCTTATCTTATAGTTAGGATAGCCTTATGCCTATCCCATGCATGCTTAAACTCCTTTACTGTGTTAACCTCTACCACTTCAGCTGGAATGCTATTCCATGCATCCACTACCCTCTCAGTAAAGTAATACTTCCTGATATTATTTTTAAACCTTTGTCCCTCTAATTTAAGACTATGTCCTCTTGTTGTGGTAGTTTTTCTTCTTTTAAATATAGTCTCCTCCTTTACTGTGTTGATTCCCTTTATATATTTAAATGTTTCTATCATATCCCCCCTGTCTCGTCTTTCCTCCAAGCTATACATGTTAAGATCCTTTAACCTTTCCTGGTAAGTTTTATCCCGCAATCCATGAACCAGTTTAGTAGCCCTTCTCTGAACCCTCTCTAAGGTATCAATATCCTTCTGAAGATACGGTCTCCAGTACTGTGTACAATACTCCAAGTGAGGTCTCACCAGTGTTCTGTACAATGGCATGAGCACTTCCCTCTTTCTACTGCTAATACCTCTCCCTATACAACCAAGCATTCTGCTAGCATTTCCTGCTGCTCTATTACATTGTCTGCCTACCTTTAAGTCATCAGAAATAATCACCCCTAAATCCCTTTCCTCATATGTTGAGGTTAGGACTCTATCAAATATTCTGTACTCTGCCCTTGGGTTTTTACGTCCAAGATGCATTATCTTGCACTTATCCACATTAAATGTCAGTTGCCACAATTCTGACCATTTTTCTAGTATACCTAAATCATTTGCCATTTGGCTTATCCCTCCTGGAACATCAACCCTGTTACATATCTTAGTATCATCAGCAAAAAGACATACCTTACCATCAAGACATTCTGCAATATCACTAATAAAAATATTAAAGAGAATGGGTCCAAGTACAGATCCCTGAGGTACCCCACTGGTGACAAGTCCAAGCTTCGAATATATTCCATTAACTACAACCCTCTGTTGCTTGTCACTCAGCCACTGCCTTACCCATTCAACAATATTGGAATCCAAACTTAAAGATTGCAGTTTATTGATAAGCCTTCTATGTGCAACAGTGTCAAAAGCCTTACTGAAATCTAGGTACGCAATGTCTACTGCACCACCCTGATCTATAATTTTTGTTACCCAATCAAAAAAATCAATAAGATTAGTTTGGCATGATCTCCCTGAAGTAAACCCATGTTGTCTCTGATCTTGAAATCCATGTGTTTTTGATGTTCAACAATCCTATCCTTTAACATGGTTTCCATCATAGTAGTTTTATATGTTTGCTAACTGAGTACAATTATTACATTGGGGAACTAAGATAATGTCATACATAATTTTAAGGGTTATACCCTGGGTGGAATTGGTACCACGAGAGGCATAACTACAAACCACACAGCCCCCGGTGCGAAAATTGCCTGGGGCCCCCACAACATACGTCTACCCCCCGCCACCCCACCATACGTCTACACTCCCCCTCCTATACGTTGCCCACACACACATATACAGAGATACACACACAGACACACAGACATACACACAGACACACATACATACACACACACACACAGACACATACAGACACACATACATACATACAAACAAACAAACACACACATATACAAAATATTTTAGTCACCCTCCTGTTTCCTACATGTTAGATACAGGAGGGTGATTGTCCTGGAGTCCAGTGGTGGCTCAGCCTGCTGGGAGTTCCCACTCTGACTCCCTCCTCTCTTCCTCCCGCGCGGCTCCCATTGTAAGCTGGGAGGAGTGATGGAGCAGTC